CCAAATTCCAATTTTCAAAAATCAATGCATACAAGTAAGTCACCTACCCCTCGAGCTAGACCTTAAAGCATATTGTGCTCTGAAGGAGCGAAACTGTGACATGGTAGTAGCAGAAGAGAGATCAAATGAGCTTGAGGAAATGAGTGAAAGTTGAAAGCCTCYAACGTTCTTGAAAGTAAAATCAACAGGAGGGAAGTAAACTTTTTTTGTGACTTATATTACAAAAATAATGCAGATTATTTGATAGCCATATAGACACTAAATCGGGCGCTTACCCGAATATTATCTTATGAGTCAGCATATATGGACAACTAGGAGTCCTCTCATATGTTTTTATGCAGTAGAGTAGTAATTTCCAGACCGTACTGCTAATGATCTATCTCCTAAGTTATTCTCGTGTATATGGATTCTGTCTGGTGCTAGTGGAGAGAAGCGATCTCATGCCCAAATTTGTAATAATATAATTGGTCCTGCTATATCTTGTGCATCTATAGCTACAGCTTTGCATAACTGTCTGTAAAGCCAGAAAAGACAACCCGCACCCCAACGGTACTGTCCAGCTATACCAAAATCTGCTAGTAGAGGTAGGTATATCAAGTGGACTCTACTGTTCGACTTATCTGAAAATACAATACCTCCAATAAGGGTAAGAATGTATGCCCTTGCATAACATTGTAGAGCTTCATCATCAACATCATTTGGTAGACGGGCAAAATACTCAAACTRGTTTGCCAACCATGGTAAGCTAAGACAACCACCAACTAAATCTCTTTCTCTTCGTGTAACTCCCAGTAATTCAATACACACATCCCGCCAAATGTGCTGAAATTATCCAACAAGAGCTTTCTCGTCTATAGATAGTCCAAATTGGATGGCGACATCCTGTAATGTGATAGTACACTCTCCATGCAGTAAGTGAAATGTGTGCATCTCTTGTCGCCAGTGCTCCACCAAAGCTGTGATCAAATGTCAGTCTAACTCTATAAAATTCAAACATGACACATCATAAAATCCTACTTGTTGTAGATATAGATCTATACGAAGATTTGGACATGTCAACCTACTAATAGAGCCTCTCAACGTCTACAATGTAAGGGGTCGGTGTATCCAATTTGCCAGACCAACTCAGATCGATGGCTAGCTTGAAGATGTAAAACAGATGAATCATATGATCCTGTGCTATTATTATCCTCCATATTCTGATAGCCTAGTAGATTAATAAATCATATATTCATTAGTTTAATACAATGTTTGTTTGTTTACACTGTGAATTAAGTTAAGAAATAAAGTAAAACATTACATTCATCGATAATTCTAATATGATTACATGAAAAATGCCACAATGGAAAATACTAGAGCAATAAAAGTTACACAAAAAATGTTACATCAAACATCAAGAAGTGGGATTATGACCTTGACTAGGGCAATTTCGTCGATTATGCCCTTCTTACCTACAAATTCCACAATGTATTTTTATTGTTRGCTCCTTCCAATCCATCTCATTATGCTTGCGAGATGTAGATGGTCTGTCGACACCTCTCACTAAATTTTTATCAGGATGAATTTTGATGAAGTTAGAGGCGGGCCAGCTTGTTTTATCTGAGATAGGTTCAAATAGGGGTGAATAACAAGACATATAGGTCTCCAGATTATAATGCTTGTCTATATACAACAAATAATYTGTGCCGACACTTGCACAAGCTACAATGACATGGGAAYAAGGAATCTCATAGCATTGTCGTTGATTACATTGGCATGATCGTCTGTGGATTAATTATAGTGGTAACATCAAATGTTCCACTATTCATATCAAACCTACGCACAGTGTGCAATGACACGTGCTTCCCAAGGAGTAAATATTTCAATGGCATACCTAACAATTTATTCAAATTTATTAAATGATCCTATCATTTTCATTCACATGAAATGTATTAATAAAAATTTACCTTGTGAAGCGTTCCCCATTTACAATGGTAGCTTGTATCTCAACTCTTTGCTTATCAAAATAATATACGGTTCGATAGAATGTTACCTGGACCAATGCAGTTATAGGTAACTTTCGAGCATTTTTTAGTACACCATTAATACGTTTAGTAATATTTGTGGTACACCACTCATATCGATGTCCGAATCACATGCCCGCATCCATTGTTTTGGATCTAATGAATTGAAGAATCTCATGCATTCTTCATTTGCTATTTAGAGCTGATCCATACATTCTTCGAACTTTGCAAGTTGAAACTGCGATCCCGCACGATATACCAAACTTTTCAATGTGTTATCCTTATATCGCTCATTAAAATTACTTGCAAGATGTCGCAAACAAAATCTGTGATGTGCATTTGTCCATCCATTTGCAGGATTCCTTATGGCAGATATAATGCCCTTGTGTCTATCAGAAATCAAGCATATGTCATTCCTATTCCCTACCACCTTATGCTTAGGTTATATAGAAATCATCCATATGTATCAACACTTTCTTCTTGTACAATGGCTTATGCAACAGGGTAACTGTGACTATTAACATCAACAGATATTGCTATTAACAATTTTCTCTTATACTTTTCATATAAATGTGTTCCATCGATTTAAAGCAAGGGTTTGCAAYGCTTGAAACCTTCTATGACAGGTTCAAATGTTCAGAAAACGCGTTGAAATACATCTTCACCAATGCCTTCTGCTCCCATCAACAACTAGTCAACTATAGTACCAAGATTAGTTATCTGTAGTACATTCATCAACTCAGGTAACATCTGGTACGATTCTTCCCAATAACCAAATACATTTATAATGACTTCCCATACTCTTGAATACCCCATAGAATAGTCATATTTTTTCTTTAATATTTCTTGCATTGTTGCAACCTTGATGGATGGGTTAGATTTCACAATGCTATGGACCTTTGCTGCAATAAGATTAGAGTCCAACTGTTTATGATCTTGACGCAATCTTGCATCGACAAAAGTGGGGGCCAATATATTGCGTGATGAAACCTCCTATGCTTTTTTTAGGTAGCTCACACGTAGCCGCTACATGCAACCATTGTCGTATCTTTAGCATTTAACCGCCCAAGTTTTGGTGCTGGACTCAACAACTTCAATATTGATRACAAAGAACAAAATAGCTTTTAACAGCATTTTTTACATCAGACTTTATTTTAAAAATGATTCCTACATACAACTTGTCAAGCCACGAGTTTCTTCCACCAAATCCATCTCAAACATAAAACTCATATCATCCATATCTAAATCAATGAACATTTCAGGAACTTAATATTTACGATGCACGTCACCTGACTGTTCTAGAAAATCTTCATCCTCATCAGTTAAGAGGTTGGTCATCAAGATCATTGTGAGGCAACTTCGTCGTTTGTCCTACATATTCTACTTCTTCATCATTTGTGGCGATAGATTGATCATCAAGATTATCGCTGGRCAACTCTGACATTTATTCTTCACTATCTACTTCTCCATTGCAATCTGCAATTTGAGGAGAATTATCTACTTCTCTAATTGGAGAGGAATTAACAATGTAAGGTTGAGTAATAAAAATGTCTAGAGTATTTGGTAAGGATGGAACAATGGTTATCATAAACCTAAACTCATGCTCGCCTTGTAGTAGAATAGGAACGTACAAAGTTGATTCTGTCATATCAATACTCCCATATCTGGATATGACCTCTAATCTCTGATCTCTATCTATAGATAATGCTTGATGTGAATAGTTTTTAAATGTGTCGAATTGGATCTCACAAACAACATTTATTTGAAGACATGGGGGCATATTGTACTCGATACAAATCGATTCATTGACAATATGTCCGTTCATGTAACACCTAATCTCACACCCATGTCTCCCATGATGGTTATGCAACTAAATCTTATATTTGAAATTAAAAAAATTATATTAGAAAATAATAATAAACTATATATTTAGTTTTAATGTTAGTATTTAGGGTTTTAATTATTTGTATTAGGGTTTAGAGTTTTAGGATTTATGGTTTAGTGATTTGCATTAGAGTTTAGGGTTTTAGAATTTAGGGTTTGATTTATATTATTGGGATTTAGGGTTTAGGATTTTAATGTTGAGATTTAGGGTTTTAGAGATTTAGGAGTTTAGAGGTTTAAGACTTTAGGATTTAAGGACTTGTATTAGGGTTTAGGGATTTAGCGTTTTAGGATTTAGGTTTTAGTATTTTTAGGGTTTTAGGATTTAGGATTTAATTTGTATTAGGATTTTAGCGGTTCGTTTTAGGGTTTAGAGTTTAGGATTTGATTTGTACTAAGGTTTTAGGGTTTGGGTTTAGGGTTATAATTTTAGGAGAAGTTATGAAATTTGAGTTTAGATTTTATTATAAAAAATTTTAATTATTAAATTAATAAAAATGCAAAATATATATGTTAATATAAAAGAATAAAAGAATTTTTTTTAAAGTAGTCATTAAATTTTGAATATTTAAAGGGAAAAAAAAGTAGTGATGTCCATTGCCGGCGATGGATGCGTCTCTCTAAGATGAGATGTGAAGGTGTTTAATACGAACATCGAAATTATGATGTTAAATAAAAATTAGGATGAGATGTGAGAGGAAGTAAAAAAAAAAAATGAGATGTGACGAGGAGAGGTCATCCAATCCGATGGAGGGCCGAAAAGGAGCATTCGCTGAGTCTCTTTGAAAGAGACAACACCCTATTTCTCTAAATAATTTGAAAATAGCCCTTTTTAGTTTTCTCTTTCTTTTTCTAAAAGCATAAATAGTAAACATTTTTTACTAAGGTTCCCATACATGCAAACATTCAAAAGAAAACCAAACAAAGATAGTTAGAATAAATAGGACTCCAGTAAGCATCGGAGTAGATCTTTACTAAACAAAGCCAAAGAAAGTCATGCATTAAAACACACTACTTTGCATCTACAGACACTTATTAAAAACCTTCTTAAAAAAAAAGAGTCGACGGAATATTCTAGTATCCCGGTGCCCGTAGGTGTCAGCCTGCACGTGCTTACTGCTCCGCCCGCCGCGCTTGCTGCCTCCCCTCCAAATCTTCGATACACTCTCTGGCATTGCAAATGCACGCTTCTTTCAAGACAGGATCCAGTGTTCTAACACTCCTAAAAAAAAGTTAGCATTCTATAGCGCTCTTGAATTTGATTTTGCTTCGTAATATGACGTGATTTTAAAATTTTTTAAATTCATTTTTACTATATTAATTTATTAAGTCTAACTAGTTTTTTGATATCAAAGTTCTATTGTTTTGATGACAAGATGATGATAGTATTTTATACGCATTAATTTTTTAGAAAAAAAACTAATTTTAATATGTAAGATACAGATACTATCACATGAAAGGCATATGTCAAAAGACTAACTACAAGTGGATGTACTTTCAAATTTTTAATATACGAGCTATTAAGTTTCTAATAATTTTGGTAGCAAAGAGAATGCATAAAATTCACCCRCCAAGAAACTCAATCCATGGTACTCACCGAGACTGAAGCAATAATCCAAAAAATTAACTTTTTTTCGAGTTCAATATTTCTTTGTAAGAGAGCATCCACCCAGCATAGTTTGTTTGAAGCTTAATCTCTTTTCCATTTTAACTGCAAATTATGGAGACATTTGGTGATTAAAGAATAAAAAACATACGATAAACAGATACATTCCCCAAAACAAGRAAAAATAAATCAATAATATTATCGTAAAACTAAAAAAAGAAAGCATCAAAGATCATATACAAGATAATAAAGCAAAGAAAGAATCATATTATAAAAAATACTTTCAACAATTAAAAGAAAGCCTGAAGATGAACATAAACAGAGGAAGTAGCAGAGGAAAAATAATGAATGGCTGATTAGAGGGAAGTAATAAACAAAGGTTATAAATAATTTAACTAAAATACAACAAAATGAAATAATAAACTAATTAAACCCACAAATATCCAAAACAAATAATGCAGATAATAATAATGAATGGAATTAGAGAAAGAAATTACCTAAAGGCTGAAGAGACGAAGCAGCCGAAGAAGAAATGGAAGGGAGAGAGTTTAGGGAGTGGTTTTTGTTTTATAGTGGGGGGGGGGAGATGCCTTTAGGGTTTTTTGTTTAATTACCTTAATACCCTCCATTTTCTCTTCTATCCACAATACTGCCCCTCCACAGCCTCCTACGTGCCTATCACGTTGCCATCCTTTGACATTCAGAAAAATCATCTTCATTTTTACCCAAATTTTAAAAAATCATTAAATTTTTAAATTTGATGGACAATGTTATTTTTAAATAGTTTTTTTTTAAATATGTTTATTACCCATTCAATTTTCTATTTTTTATTTTAGAAAAATCATTTTGAAAATTTCAGAAACGAGAAAAGTAGTTTTCAAAAACAGATTTCTATTTTTCAAAATTTCACTTTTTTTCTCAACTTTTTAATATTTTTCTTAGTTTTGTCCATCTAAAATTTCGACTTTTATTACTTTTCTTTCTTTTTCTTAATCTATTTTCTTCTCTGAAAATTATTTTTTTTCTCGTTCAATTTTCTTTTACTATAACTTTTATTTATGATTTTTTTTAAATAATGTTTTTATTTAAACTTATTTTTAAAATAATACTGACATTAAATAAAATTAAAGAAAAAATGTTTATTTTGAAACTTATTTCAAAAATAATGCTTTTGAAATTAGTCCCCCACTTGTCGTCTCTTGAAGGGACGACTATGTCATTTTTAGTAGTTGATCGTTTCTTCGAGAGACGACCATATGGACTGGCGCTTTTCCTTCTAAAATTTTATCTTTTATAACTTTTCTTTCTTTTTCTTAATCTATTTTCTTCTCTGAAAATTATTTTCTTTTCTAGTWCAATTTTCTTTCACTATAGTTTTTATTTATGATTTTTTTTAAATAATGTTTTTATTTAAACTTATTTTTAAAATAATGCTGCATTAAATAAAATTAAAGAAAAAATGCTTATTTTGAAATTTATTCCAAAAATAATGTTTTTGAAACTAGTCCCCCACTTAGTTGTCTTTTAAAGGGACGACCATGTCCTTTTTAGTAGTTGATCGTCTCTTCAAGAGACGACTATAAGGACGTGGCGYGCGCCACGTCTGAKTTTTTWAAAAAATCAAGACATGGTCGTCTCTTGCTGACACGCACTTCATCGTTGTTTCTTCAACGGACGACGAAACGACTTCGATTTTTAAGGGGAAAATACTATTATACATTATATATTAAAAAGTTATAATTATAATAACTAAAAAGTTGATTAATACAAAAGAAAAAAAAAACTTGCTTTTTTGTAGGCATGAACCGTTSAGGAGAAAGAAGAAAATTACTGCATGATCAACTACACCACTAATTGATATCCTGAACAAAAATGCACTTTTAATATATAATATATAATAATATTTTCCCTCTTAAAAAACGAAGTCGTTTCGTTCGTCCGTTGAAGAAGAAACAACAGTGAAGTGCGTGCCAACACATGRTCGTCTCCAGAGACAACCATGTCTTGATTTTTTTAAAAAATCAGACGTGACGCCAATAAAGCGCCACGTCTTTATGATCGTCWCTTATAAAGACGACTAACTACTAAAAATGACATGGTCGTCGGACTAATTTCAAAAGCATTATTTTTGGAATAAGTTTCCAAATAAGCATTTTTTATTTAATTTTATTTAATGCAACATTATTTTAAAAATAAGTTTAAATAAAAACATTATTTAAAAAAAATCTCTTTTATTTATCTCTGTATTTATTTATTTTCTCTAGAAATTATATTTTGGGTCTTTTTTTTATCTCTAAATTTGTTTYCACTCTATTTTTTTCTTTTTTCTAATTTTTTTTCTTTAACATATATTTTCCCCGACTTTACTTTTTTTCTCTAAACTTTTTCTCTTTTAAAATCAAATAACTACTAGTTTTTTAAAAATAAAATTAAATAATTACTATTAGAAAAGTAGTAATTAGGTGTTTTTTTCCTTTCAAATATCTGTACTAAAAAAATGGTACATACTATAGTTACTAAATTAATATAATTTATTTTAATTTCAAAATAAAATTTATCTTTTTCTTCTAAAATAATTTTTTAAATAATATGTTTTTTAATAATTATTATTTTACTTTATTTTTTTACAATGGTGGATCGTGGATTCTACTTTAAGGGCAGTGTGTATCAATTTTCACAATAAAGAGTCGGGTTAAGACATAATCCAGGATTCAAACTATGGATGCGAGAGTGCGGCACCGGACGCAAGCCAATGGAGTGCACACCCTTTTCCTACAAACATACAGATTAAAATCTGGGGCCACACGCCCTAGTCTGAATAATTATTTTAGAAAAGAATATAAATTTCAATAAATAACATTTACTTAAATTTGTTTAAAAGAGGAAAAAAATGCAATATAATTTATTTTATTTACTCTAATTGTAAAATAAAATCTATCTTTCAACAAACAAATTGGAGTATGGGAGTTTGAATCTCCAACCTGAAACAAAGAGRATCGCTAGGAAAAATAAATTCTATATTTTCTTCTGAAATAACTTTTTAAAATATTATTTTTATATAATAATTATTTTATTTTTTGACAATTAATTAGTAGTTATCTTAGTTCATTGATTATCCTGGTTTTTTATTCAATTTTCTGTAATGGGGTTGTGTAATTTTGTGTTTTATTGCTGTTAAAATTGTTGGTTCTGTGGTTTAGGAAGATGAAACGAGCTGTGATTTTCTGATCTCAGACTAATTTTTATCTGCACTAATGATGTTTTTTTGGGATCGAACTGACTTTGAAATTTTGATTTAATTTGTTTCTTGATGTTGTGATTTGAACTTGTTTGGTCTCTCTTCGAAGCTTGAGTTTGTAAATAAAAAACAAGGATCAGTTCAGTTCAGTTCACTTCATAGGACGTTTTTTTGTGCGTCGGAAATAAAAACGTCGGGCAAAGTCCTTTTTCTTGTAGTGTTTGTACAAAGCTTGGAATTAATTATTCAAATGTTTAAGATTCAAGCTCGCATCATCTCATAGCCAACCGTAGCTCAGCTCAATAGGTTAAAAGCATGTATTCCCCCTTACCGCCCCACATATTGTTGTAGTAAAAAAACTTCTCACTACTCTTAATGAATTGGTATAATTAAGTCTTGGTGGATAATTATCTTATTTTTTATTTCTTATTTTTTTAAATTAAACTTACCAACACAACTTCCACTTTTGTGTTTATTTACTTTGTTAAAACATTTTCGAAAACTATAAGGAAAAWRATTTTGTTTTTAAGTTTAGGAAGAATTTATATATATATATTTTAAAAGTGATAAACATATCAAAGAAATTGTGAAGAATTAAAAATATATTTTTMAGAACAGAAAACTAAAAAGGAAATCGTTATCAAACCGGGGCATAAATATTGTTTAATACAATGATGTAAGTTTATATGGTATCAGCTTTATTTCTTCAAACAGTCTGGCTGTGATAGGGGCTTGTTATTAGTATACTGAAATGGGGTGGCTTGAAAGTTTGTTTTTGACACTTGGAATAATAGTTTTTCAACACAAACAATAGCTACTGCTACTGTTGCAATTGGAGTGGCAAGTGCCTGTGGTGGGAGCTTACAGAGGCAAGGTTCGTTAACTTTACTGCGAATCATTAGTCAGYGTTGGAGGCCATTTCTGGTTTCTTTGTGTCGACATCTAGGGAGGCTTTGCTTATTGAAATAATTCAAGGTCCCCCTGTGGATTGACACAAGTCTAGGTAGTTCGGCATACCATGCTTGACCTGACCTTATTTCACCTATCGGCCAACATATCTTAGATAAGATATGAGCCGACCTTTGAAGAACACCCATAGGTGCGAAGACAACGAAGATGTTCTCTAACAACACGTCACGTTCCYCGAAATGTAGGAGAACTGTTAGACCACTGTCAGAAATCCTGTCGGAGTTCATCTCTATGAATAGAAATCTCCACCTCCCATACAAGATACATAAAACTATTTTCACATTGGGTAACAGATCGGACTGAGACTAAGTTGCTCGATGGAGTGCTTGTCTTGCATGTACCTCGAACGTCAGTATCACTCTTTCGAATTTTACAGATTCCGACCTTGATCATTTTCAAGATCATACAGTCAAAAAGTTAGGACAGTTGATGAAGTATGGAAAAACTTGAGTGAAGAGGCATACTAGTATTAAAGATGGCTGCGTAGACCAACAAAAATTGCCTCGGCAACAACCRACGTCAAGGGAGGTGACTTTGAGAGGCCATTTAACTGTGGACTTTATGGTGGATTATCAAGACATGACAATAATGCTAATTTCTGATAGACGTTTCAAGGTTGTTCTAGTATTTTTCGTGGGAGGGWTTGGGTTGATTTTATTTATTTATTTTTTGCTCTGTCTGCTTTTCGGAAAAGTTGTAGCTATATTTACCAATAATTTGACTTGTTTTTTCATATACGCAAAACCTCTAATTGATTAATACTCAAGTTTGACTTTTTGACTTTTCTTTCGAGATTTTGTTTTGGACAAAATACACTCTTGGTGTCTAGGCTTGAAGTTGATGTCCATTTGATCCCTAAAAACACTTTATGATTCTACGTTTAACACCATAACAGTGCATTTTACTATAGAAAAAGGGTCAAATTTATGATAATCTTCGCCAACAATGCAAGAGAATCATTTTCTCCAAAAAAAAAAAAACAAAAAAGAATCATAATTGTAAGTCCCCACATCCCGGCCACCAAATTTAGCCCTTAAGCATCTATTTGGCATGACCGTTTAATTTTCCATCCGTATAAAGTAACGTACTCGAGGTCAAAGGTTTTCTTTTCTTTTTTTTTTATATATTTTTTTTATTCAAATTTGGCTTAAATGCGGAATCTACTATGATTATGAGATAAATACAATGAGTCTCACAAAATACTTTACAAAAACTCTCTCTAGATGTCTCAACAATAGTCACCTAGTTCTAARCACTACAACAATATATACTTGGGAATACATAATRAAAAACTTCACTGGCTCCATGAGAACGGGCTGTCAATAAAG